TCCTTCAGATATAGATCTGAAATCTCTCCCTCTCTCTCTCTCTACCTCTCTCTCTCTCTAGAGCTCCCTTGCGCGCATTTCCGCCATGGCTTCCGACGGCGTCCTCCTCGGCATGGGCAACCCCCTCCTCGACATCTCCGCCGTCGTCGACGACGACTTCCTCCGCAAGTACGTCCCCCTCCTCCTCCTCCTCCGTTCCCGATCTCGTCCCGCACCGCCTTCGCGCTCCCTTCGATGCGATGGCGCGTCGGATTCGGCCGAGTCGCTCGCGGCCTCCGGCTTCCGTCATGTTGTTGTTCGGACGTCTCGTTCCCGCGGCGGTGCGGATCCTGTGCCGCCCCCCCGAGCGTCTGCGTTACGCAACGAGTTAATGCTCGATGGTTTTGGCGTCCTTTCGCGTTAGATCTGGCTCTAGTTCGGAAGTTAGGGGGCGCGGGAACGACGGCGTTAACGGCTAGTTCGTTCCGATGTTCCCTGCTTTAGTAGAATGGCTCGATGCTTCCGCGGTAACGGTGGTTGATGATGCGGCGGCTTCTTGGCGGGAATGGTTTCTGATGTTTTGAGTTTGAATGTTGAATCGAGCGTGGGCCGTGCTCGCGATGAGCTTTTGCATGGATATTGATTGCTGATCTTGAGATGAACCTGCATATGCCTGTTACTCTTCTTCCCCGAGAACTGAACTTGGCCGTTTCTATGTGACAGATATGACATCAAGTTGAACGATGCGATTCTCGCCGAGGACAAGCACCTGCCAATGTAAGATTTCCTTCTCTCACGTGGTTTAGGTAGTTTATGGTTTGGACCTGAATATGTCTTTTGCGATATTGACCGTAAAGATTAGTATTAAGACGTGCAAGATGATTGCGGCTTAGGGTGATTGCTTGTGCATCTAGTGTTGATCCCGTCAAGCTTATGCGTATGTAGCAGCAGATCGCAAATGGTTCATTTTCTTCTTCACCTGCGAACTTTTGGTTAACTTCTAATGTGGATATGCTACGAAATGCCCTGTTTCAGCTCTCTCTTTTTCCTACCGAGACTTCTTAGTTTCTGTGTGAAAGATGAGTGTCTGAGGAAAGGAGTACTTCCAAAGTGGAGTAGCTCACCGTTCCTTTCCCCTCGTTCCCTTATGACAACAATTAGATAGCGCCGTTTTTGTCTACTAGTAGGAAGAGATCTCTCCCCTTTTTCTGGTATGACTATGATGAATTTCGGTTGCCCTCATTGATCTTTAAAGAGTTATTTCTGTGGATGATGTGTTACTATGTTGAGTGGACATGTTGCAGGTATGACGAAATGACTAACAAGTACAGCGTAGACTTCATTGCTGGGGGTAATACATATTATGCACTTCGCTCCTGTACTAGATTGATATCTGTAATCAGAACTATGCGTCATTTCTGTTCCACACGTGATATCTTTCTTCTTTTCTAGGTGCTACTCAAAACTCAATCAGAGTTGCTCAGGTACATCCAGGAATTGTTAGTCTGTTCTAGTATCCGGTAAAATAAAGTGTTATCTGATGACTTAGCAAAGTTTTCTTTGTCCTCTACAGTGGATGCTTCAGATTCCTGGTGCAACCAGCTTCATAGGCTGCATTGGAAAGGACAAATTTGGGGATGAGATGAAGAAGCATGCAAAACTTGCTGGTGTGAATGTAGGTCTTTGTTCTCTCGTTATTTGTATTGTTCTGTGCATTGTCATGCCTAAGCTGATGCAATGATCTGATTCATACTTCAGGTTCACTATTATGAGGATGAAAATGCACCAACTGGCACTTGTGCCGTCTGTGTTGTTGGCGGTGAAAGGTCAGTTGATGCTCGGATGGGTTTTACAAATTCTACTACCTTTTTCATTTGGATATTCACATCTCAATCTCGACACTTATTTATATTGATGCAAGTGTTTCTTGATTCTTACGTAAGGACTTCAAATATTTTTCTTTTATTGAATGAGTTATGAGGCTCCTATTGTATGCAATGATGTGCTTAAACTTATTTGAAGAGGAATCTCTACTGATGTATGATTTTGTTTTCCTTAATACATGTTAAAATTTTATTTAGTGTTCTGATCAGCTAGAGCTTGCCTTTCCATTGTAATCCGATGGCCTTTTACCTTATTCTCATAAATACTGCCTACAGTCTCCAAATGCTTTGTGTAACCCTATCTTCACGAGGGAAAATGTGTGAATAAATCTTCTTTCTTTCTATGGTGAGTGCGCTTGTCAAATGTAAGTCCATCCAACCATGTCCCTTGGGGTGATTTCATATCGTTTCAGGCTTATTGAGTCTGACTCTTGTCAGAAATCTCACTCTCAAGCTGTTAATATATGTGTGCCTTTTCGTTTTTCTGGGTCATGTATGGTCATGCTATAGAATGATAGAAGACCACTGTCTCCTCTAGAAGCTGACAGCATAATAAGTAATATCATTAAGAGATTCGATATCTGTACGTTGTGCCCCTCTTTGCAGTTGTAAAAAAGAACTCATTTTGTTATGCCATTGGTGTGGTCTAGGTGTGTGGGTTGGGGGTGGAAACACAAGTCAGGGGATCGAAACTCATTACCATAAGGAAAAGACACATTCATTTTGTTATTTTGATTGTTAATATTAGGGTAAATTTTCTGTTGTTCCTACAGTGTTAGGTGATTATTGCTTTACTCCCTACATTTTGAACTTGACTGTTTGTTCCTGAAGTTTATATTTTTGACGTGCTTTGTGCTGTAGCCTACTTTGAGTGCATGGGAGATATTAAAATGTAGTTGGGAACCCGAAAATCTGGCCGAGGAATCATAGTTAATTAGAAATATAGTTCCGGGACCAAGTTGTCTAGTCTTTGAAATTCAGGGCCTAAAGTGGCAATCGCTTGGAACTTTAAAAGGACTCTTAAGAGTTAATTAAACTTCATGATTCAGAGGTAGTGCTAACCTGGCTGTATTCCTAGTTCAGGTTGACAATTTTGGTGTGCTTTAACTGTCCACACCTTCAGGACTTTTCTTGCAAGTTATAATTAGTTAAACTAAGAAGAAGTTTGTGTTGTCGTTTTATTTTAGGTCTCTCATTGCCAATCTCTCTGCGGCCAATTGCTACAAGGCTGACCACTTGAAACAACCAGAAAATTGGGCGCTAGGTAGCTTCTCCAACTTCAGGTTTTGGTAACTTGAATCATTTCTACTTGTACGGTGTCACTAATAGACATCATTGTTGGACCTACATTAAACAGTTGAGAAGGCCAAATACTTCTATATCGCTGGATTTTTCCTCACTGTATCCCCAGAGTCTATCCAGCTTGTTGCTGAACATGCAGCTGCAAATAACAAGGTCGGTTGCTTGAAGGAAAAAGTAGATAGCTCTTCATGTCTGCTAATTTGCAGCAGCTTTACCTAAGATTGCTCGATCAAATGTTTGTGTTCTCAGATATTCATGATGAACCTTTCTGCTCCATTCATCTGTGAATTTTTCAAGGATGCTCAAGAGAAAGCCTTGCCGTAAGCATCTATTACCTTGAACCTTCTGCCGCAGTATTTACCATAAGAAAGATTATATTTTAACTCAAAGGCGTGACTTTCTCACTCCAGCTATATGGACTTTGTCTTTGGAAATGAGACCGAGGCACGGACATTCTCTAAAGTTCATGGCTGGGAGGTAACGTTGCTTCTTCCGTGTATTTAAGATATTATATATTGTGTGAATGGTTTAAACTAATTTGGGCTGTTCAGACCGACGATGTCGAGGAGATAGCCCTCAAGATATCCCAATGGCCCAAAGCATCGGGAACATACAAGAGGATCACTGTTATTACTCAGGGTCCCGACCCTGTTGTTGTTGCAGAGGATGGGAAGGTCAAGAAGTTCCCTGTAATAAAGTTGCCCCAAGAGAAACTCGTCGACACCAACGGAGCAGGTACATCTTCTATATGACCTTTGTGTACGCATTTAAAAAGCATACATACATGCGCATGCAGGCATGGGCTGGACTTATTGTTTGTTTAGGGACTTTTCGAGGTGTGTGCCTAACAGATGCATGCATGATGTGTAGGTGATGCATTCGTTGGGGGATTTCTGTCTCAACTGGTTAAGCAGAAGCCCGTTGAGGACTGTGTTAAAGCTGGCTGCTATGCTTCGAATGTCATTATCCAAAGACCCGGTTGCAGTTACCCAGAGAAGCCCGATTTTGAATGAGCTATTATCTGGTATTATTATCACAAAATAGACCGGCCTTATTCTAAATTTTGATCATTAAGCGTCCCATACCTATTGCGATTTCCATCTCATTCCCTACTTTGCTTGTCATTTGTGTGTCAAAAGACGGGATAATGTGGGCTTTTCTTATAAGCAATTATCGAGTGTGAGGTCTCTTGTTTTAAGCTATCGATTCGAGATTGGTGACTTCCTGTGTTCTGATGGTCCTGTACTGAATACATAGTTTTATTGTGACATCGAAAAATTTGGTCATATGTCCTCGGCGTTCCACTCAAGGATGATTTACCTTTTACGACGAGAGACGTGTTAAACAAGGAAGATGAGAGTGAACTCACCCAGTTCACAGGCCAGACCCCCTTACCGATTGGACCTTTGTAACTTAATTATTTTTTAATTGTAAAGCAAAGAGGAAAAAAAAACCAAATTGTTAATCAAAATATTAGTATCTAGATTAGAATTTGCATTCGATAAAAAAACCATAGGACGTCAAAAGTTTTTTATTTCTCGTGTAAGTAAAGATATGAAACTTTATTATTTGCTCATAACGTTGCCCAATGAATTACATCCCCCGTAGCACGTGCATGTAAACTAATAAATACTCATATGGAAGTTAATGCTCCTAAAATTACGTCATCCCTCTCTATCATCTGTGATTTTTGAAGTGGCGTGAAGCCGCAAGCGCGAGTTATGTGCTATCCCTTGTAACCAAAAAATATTCGCACGATTGTGGCTACATGTCTCCCTCCCTCATATTTACTTCCCTTGGCTTGGTTTCCACAAACAAAGAGGGCCACGATCCACTTTCACTTGTATCAAAACTGCCGCGCTGAATAGCACCGACATGCCATCGCCCTCATTCCTCGCCTCACTTTCCCGGCGAATGGTAGGCGTGGCGTGTGTGAGGCGGATGTGGCGTGCCGCCTTGTGGACCGCCCTGCTGACTTTGACGGTGGGTGTCACGATTTTCGCTCCGGAGGCTGCCTTCGTCTCCGCCGTATCTTCGTCGTCGTCGTCATTCTCGAGAGCATGCCCTGGGGACAACTACTTGAGGATTCCTTTGGACGATGTTCCTGGAGAAGTGTTGTGTATTCCGGGAAGCATGGTGGGGAGGTCCAAGTTTGATTCCCCCTTGCCGGCCATTTTCGCCGCCATCATGGTGGCCGGCTCTGCCTTCTGGCTTCAGTTTCTGTGCGTGTGGGATGGTGAGAGAGGCTGAAACATTGGTGCTCGGTATATTTTTAGTGAATTCGGTATTCAACGCATTCGCGAAATCTTCTGGACATCTCCTGCTGCTGTTTCGAATTTTGTCTTTGCTTTTGTTGTCGTTATTGTTTCCTTTTTGGGGGGACAGGACTCTCGTCTCTTATGAGATCTCACTGATCCTATCCGTCAACAAATAGTCACGTTTGGTTTTACTTACTGGATCGTAACAAATAGTAGTAATCCAAGCATCTTCCGTATTTGAACATCTCTTTGGTTCTTTTGGTAGTTTGTGGCATCTCGTGTACCTAGGTGAAATTCTATATACAGAAAAAGAGCTAAGAAATTTCACCTGACCAAAATGCAGAAATCTTATTGTACAATAAAACGCATTTGGCATGGGTGGAAAACCGCTTGGTGCATGATCACAATGAAAATCTGCTATCACGACTATGGCAGGTAACGGTAGAAGGTGCGCGCACGGCACTGTTACAAGCACGATGCATGCGATTGCGAGAGAAAGATTGCCACAAGCATGTAACATGAAGAACGCATAGGACATGCATGATGAATATGGTTGATCAGGTGACATAAGGCATATGGGCAAATGGTATGATGTATGCATGAGCAGTCATAAACAACATGTGAGGGTGACGCATTAATGCACAACTGTTAGCATGAAAATGTGACCTAATGTCTCCAAGCACAGGCCAATGACAAATGATGCACCAGCCATAGACATCGGATAGGTGGTGCATGAATGCAATACCACATCACGAATTGCATAGAATTGAGGCTTTGCACATCATCGACACCCTCATATCACTTATCCATGCTCAGACAGTAGTAAAAGAAACAAAAAGCCAAATAACTCTATATCTGCAAGCTGACAATCGAATTAACCTGTCCTCTTACTCTTTATTTGCGCGATGCAATGTTTCACCACATTCTGTGGCAACACTTCTCCAGCTGAGACTACAATAGAAGAGAATCTTTCTTTCTCTTTTAAAGATCGATGCGAAGCAAAGTTTGGTCTTTTTCCTTCTTTCGCTTTAAGGCTACTTTGTATACAGCTTTAGCAAATGCTTCTTTCAAGAGCAGATTCTTCTACGTACATTTCTTCCATTGGAGCTGGGACTAGCACCTTTCTTCGCAGTAGGAACTGGGCGAGATCTCGAACTGTAGTTCCTCGGGTATGGATGGATCGTTGCTAGTTCACGAACCCGGCGTAGCAAGGACTTTGGCAGTGGACGGACAGCATTCTTCTCCTTCTTCTCGGCCTGCAAAACCGTCATTGGCTGAATAAAATCTCTGTTCAGTGCACTTTGTCTCAAATAGAATTGAATTATGGACACACTAACTGAAAATGATGGTCCTCGTACACCAAATCAAAGTCAGACGCATATTACAATTTTCAAGTGGTACAACCGCTAAGTCACTAGAATGAATGGTAAGGACTAATCTGAGAAATGTCAGATCCGACATAAATGTTACACGTGATGCTTATATTAGAGATAAAACAATTATATTATAAGATTTTAAGTAGGATTGGCAATTTCTAACACGAGTTAACACGTTTGTACATGATTAAATGGCAAATCCAAAAGGAACAAAAATCTAATATACAACTTATTATAGCATAATTAGCAAATATATAGTATTTCCAGTGACATGACTTGACATGATCATGAAACCCAATTATGACAGTTGAACACGAATTGCCAGCCCAAATTTTAAGGGAAGCCCAACCTCTAAATCTCCACAGCAACAGGCAGGAGACATAAAATTAAAAGACACGGCCCTTCCTTGGAGTTTCTTAACACTTATTATGAAGTGAATAGAAACTACTTTTAGACTTGTTTTTATGCACATTCTGGAGAAAGTGGCAAAATATGAACACCACCCGGATTCCATAGAAAAGGTCTGGAGTAATTGTTGAAATAGGACGCCAACAAAGCAAGTTTGGACATAAAAAGGAGTTGTCTAAATAGATCTGCAGCTCATCATACCACGTCTAAAGCAGACCATCGTCGACAAGTGAAAACAAGGACATAATCTAAAGTTATAACAAATATGACACATACTACAGCATAATGCCAATGCAGCCTCTGTTTTCAGTATGTATCATCTAAAAGGATCCAACTATAGCTCATTACGAGGCTCATGGACCTTGATTGTTGTCATGTATAATGAAGCTACAGTATACCCTGCATTCACAGAATGCAAATCGCACTGCACAACCAGTAAAGGAAAAGCAATGCTAACCTCTCCCTTGTGTGATTTTAGTGCATGACTAGCCCTCAGAAGATTCCGCCACTTGTCCTGCAGAATTCAAGTGTTAATCATGAAAACCTTGTAAAATAAGAATGTGAACTATGACTCATTGATATATAACACATTGAGTACTCTGAGATCTATGGGTGTCCTGTAGGCAGACGTAGCAAAGAAAAGCCTCTTTATATCTGTCCACTTTCCAGCTCCATACTCAGAGATGCCATCAACCAACTTTGTCACCTCGGCAAGAGTCCACATCCTTTGATGCTTCCTCCGATCAATACCCTTCTTAGGTCTCCGCTCGACAAAGTCATCTTCAGATTCAGATGCAGAAGAATACGCTCCCAAATCATCTTCCTGAACATTAAAGATAGCATAAAATCAGACTCAAAAGTAGTAAAGAGGACATTAATCCAGAAATCAACTCCACCAAACTATCTTGCAAACCTAGAAATATGTGACCCACTTTGTGCAGAACTTCAACTTCACTCTTCACTCAATTAAAACAATCATATCCAGCTCAATTTATGCCTCATAATAACAGTCTCCGGAACCACATTAGTGTTTAAAAGTGTTACCTAGTTCCAAGCCATTAAACTAAGAATGACCATCACATTAATCACAGCTTTTACCAAGTAAAAGAAACTGTGCTTTACAATAGTGGACAAGCAACATTAAAGAATTAACATCTAACAGGTCAAAACTTTTCCTACCATGAGGGGTTCATGTTTCTTCAATCGTCTTCCCTGTAAGTGAGGGTGAGACAGTGTTTTGATGCTAGTTTCTTCTGGACAATCCTTCACAGGAACTGAAGTTAACTCTCTAGGTTCCACATCGTGTAGCTGATCAGGAGTTCTAAAGTTCACATGCTTCTTTGAACTAACCACAAAAGGCTTTTGCTCTGGCCTAAGATGACTAGATTTCATATTTGCCGATTCCTCGATGTACCTCCGAGTAGGCTTCCGCTGTCTCTTTTGCGTAAGACCCGCTACCAATCTGCTTTCTGCAGCAGGATTGTTTTGGTTTCGGCTTGACAGCAAGCTAACAACACAATCTGAACTATTTTGCACTTGATCAACCTTTATCGATTCACGTGAAAGACAATTGCAATCCACAGGACCAATTCTTCCTTGACGTGAATCGTCATTGCAATTGAGCTCTGGATTGTTTCCATCAGATGACTCTGACATTTCAATGGCACCATTACTACTTCCGCTATATCCCGGAGAATGACTGTCTGTACTAGAATTCCCCAAGCGGACGCCATCGCGGAGACCAATATCCAATGCAGAGACTTCTTGAGCAAGATCCATGTCTGTTACAGAAAGACACTGTCATCAATGTCTTATTCTCATCAAAATTAGCATATGATAAGCTGACTTGGGATTACCTAAAAGATAATCTTCACATGCAACAGCAGGACCATCCAAAGAATTGAGAACTTCCACATCATCAACTTCATCCAAAATTCCATCAAGCACCTGCTAAAAGTTCCCAATGCAAATATCAGCCATCTAAAGCAAAGAATGTATGACGAGAACAACATAAAGTGATAAGCAACTAGCATATTCAATCAAGGTACAGTTAGGATGGAAATTGGATCTTCAATCATGTAAGACGAGGGATTGCAAACCAAATTCTCCAAAAGAGGGATTTCAAAGTGTAAATACAAATTTAGGGTTTCATTCGACAACTTACTACCTTTTGGTAATTTCCTTTTGTTGTAGCGTTTGAAATTTGAGTCAAACACCTGAAACCTATCATACATACAAGCATTGACATATAGAGCAATCTAGAAGTTTTCCATAATTTTCTAAAACTTAGAATATTTTGTCTTGCTTTCAAAAGTTTTGGAAGGAAAGCAGAAGGTACTTTCTCTTAAGACAGTACAAACAGAGCCTTAGGAAATCAATGTAAGGGATACGTACTCCAAGATTTAGTGCATCTCCTCCTTCTGGAGTAATGTAGGAATCCAGTCCACCTTGCACAAAAGCAGAAATGTTTACCAGAATTAGGATTACTGGCAAAATATATATAGACAGAAGCAGAAAACTATCAACAGCTTCATTCTTCTTTGAAGCAGTTCGATCTTTAGAAATAAGATTGCCATACATACAGTTTCTGCTATGGAGTTGCCAACTGCATAGAGCCATGCAGTGCAGTGGAATAAGCCTTTACTCAAATCGTTTCATTGCATTTTCAAAATGAGAAAAGAGGGGCGACTTGATTCTAAGATTAAGTACTTAAGTTAGCAATATATATTTAGAGTAAATCTTGCTACTAAATTTCTCCTTCTTTTTAGTGCATACACTCCGTCAGAGTTGGATACGTGCAAGGAATGGAGCTGTAAAATGTCTATGGAGGGTAGCAATGGAGAAGAAAACATCCAACTCAAATGCATGAGAAATCTCATTTTAATTGCTTCTGCTGAAGAACCCAACAATTTGATTCGATGAACAAAATACTGAAATAAGCAGGTTGCTCTGTCTCGCAACCGGTACCTCTGAAGCTAAACTCCACTTCATCATTGAAGTCTTTAATATCCAAGAAATTCCCGGCATTCTCCTCATTAGAGCAAAACACACCATCCACTGAGAAGTCATCATTTTCAGGCTCTTCGAGTAAATGCTCGACTTCAGTAGTTTCGTCTTCTATAGGCGGGACAATAGATTCTTCTTCTTTAACCTATCAAAGGTGGAAGATGAATGCAGTTTCAGCAATAGCACTGACTCAAATAGAGATTGTCACTTAGAATTAACAACAATCGTAAACAGGAGAACATCTAAGCATGTCCGCACAGAATCAACAGACTACATATCTTGTACTCATACCAAGCCCAAGAGATGCAGCCATAGGCTTCTTGACAAACAAGCATTTTGAAATGGATAAATAAGATATGCCTTTAGTGAGAACTTGAGTGCTTCTAATCTTGTAATATATATATATATATATATATATATAGATATATATATAGAGAGAGAGAGAGAGAGAGAGAGAGAGAGAGAGAGAGAGAGAGAGGAGATTCTACGCAGAAAATAAGCCTGGGGCTAATAGAACTTCCTTCAAGATCATCAAACTTCCATGCAAACAAAATTTGTGTGCCATTGAACCCCACTTTCCTCCTAATACGAAGGCCCTCATGTAACTTTGAAAAGAGAAGTTCCTCACTTTTCCAACTATTAGTGAAGACTGCGAAAGATTCTGCTTTAGTTGAAGCTAATGGTGAAAACCCAGTCCACCTTGAAAACCAAAGTTGTTCATCCCACTTAACATCACTCAAAATGCAGCACCATTCTCCCAATTCTATTCTACCCTGGCAAAATGGTCATGCTCTTCCTACACTCCATCATCCGCTCATGCGCATGACACGCGTATCTACTAGTCAGCTGAGCTTTCGGACAACTGCAAAACTGTTCGACAATCAGTATCAAAGGGTAAACATTTTTTTTTACATCCTAGGATCACAGCATCGAGTGGAGCTCATCACAGTCTTCCGAATGGCAGATCGCAACAACATTTCTTTCCGCAGCCAGCAGACACACTAAACCACCTCAATCAATCGAAGAAATTCCTACACATCAGAATGCGAAACCGACGAACACGGAAAAAAATAAAAATCGAAAATTCACAGACAAAGCCCCAAACCAGCAACGGAAAACACCACGTCGCAAAAAAAAAAAAAAAGGGGTTCGCTATCTAGGACGATCGCGAGAAATGTATGTCCGTCCGCCTGTCCGGCCCCACTCGGAGAAAACAATCGCAAACACACAACCGTTCAGCCGAAGGATCGGGGACAAAAAAACTCAGCCACCAACAGCACCCGCGATCCGATCCTTCCTCCCCCACATGCAAATCGAGGCGGAGAAAAAAAGCAAACGATCGGAGAAGCAATGCCGACGAGAGGAGACGAGAGGGCGAACCTCGTTCATGAGCGAAGCGAGCTCGAGAAAAACCCCCCTTCCCTTCTCCTCCGATCTACGCCGGAACCGTGGCCGCCGGAAAGAAGCAGCCGCCGCCGCCGCCGCCGCCGACGCCGACGACGAGGGGACTGAGGAGCGGCGAGATCTGCTGCTGATGCTGCGGCGCTGCGCGCGCGACTCCCACTGCAGCAAGCGCGACTTCTTTAGAGAGAGAAAGGAGGGGGGGGGGGGGAGGAAAGAGAGAGATTTGACCTAGGAGGAGAGGGAGAGGCGGGGCGGGGATGATGGTGGTGTCAGAGGAAATCGAGCGAATGTCCGCACTGGAAAAGCTCGAGACCGCCAAATCGCGCCACGAAATCACATCTCACGATCGCGATGCAGACAGGCGTACGCTCGCGCACCCACCCCCACACCCACACACGCACAGAGAGAAGAGGAAGAAGAAGAAGAGAGAGAAAAGGAGGAGGAGAGGGAGGAGAGAGAAGGGGGATGATTGTCTGGTTTTTCTTCCTCGCTCTTTTTTTTTTTAAATATTTTATTCGCCGCGACGGAATCGAAATGGTTTTATAATGGAGTGCCCCACGACACGACCGGGACAGGAGCCGGTACTAATATAATCCCCGCTTCATGTCCGGACCCCCCCGGTCCCCCGTTCCCACGTGCCCCTCGCCGTCGCCGCGCGTGCGATTTGCGGGCTCGCGGGAAGGGTTTATCTTTTTTTTTTTTCTTTTGGTCGGAGGAGGGAGGAGGTATCGTCATCGTCGGCCGCGAATCTCGTGTGGAGAGATGCCCCCCCGCTTGTCGAGATTGGCGGCGGATGGGTTCGCCGACCTTGGGGCTTCCGGCTCGCAGGCGGTGCGGGGAGGGGTTTCGGGTCAGACCGAATGATTCTTTGATGAGCGTGAGAATTGTATGATGACAACGCCCCAAGTGGGTGTCGAGATTGGCGGCGGATGGGTTCGCCGACCTCGGGGGCTTCCGGCTCGCGGGGCGGTGCCGGGAGCAGTTTTCGGGTCGGACCGAATGATTCTTTGACGGGATGTTGAGAAGTTGTCAATTGTGACGAATTTTGTTACGAACCCACAACACATTAACAAGGCAATTTTTGATTGTCCAGAAGGTGCTAGCACGGGTCGCCACTGTCCATCTGTTTTTTTCTTTTCAGCAAAGAGAAAAAGCTGTCTAATTACACCAACGGTTAAACTTCGGCCCAATGCCCTGGACTTTAGACGTGGAATTTGCTTTTGTTTGAACTTCGGCGTCCGGGAGAACGAGTACATATTTAGTTTCGCTAAAAAATGATGTCCAATAAAGTGAAATTCAAACTCAGGCGTGGCCTTTTATAGGCACGAATACATACATTTTAACACCGTTCTCAAACTCTAAATTTGTTCAATGTAATACAATTTAGTTCATAAACTATATTGAAATTTTCAATGTCGTCCTATCATTAATTCAAGTTCATGGACAACATTGAATAATTTCATATAATTTAAAGACTTGATCAAATATAAACAAAAAGTTGAAGGATCACATTTGATAAATTAAAAGGTCATGGATTATATTGCACATTGGACCAAAGTTTAGGGACCGTTTGTGTCGTTATTCTTTATTTTTCTCTATATAATCAATGTTTTTTTTTCTTGCAATTAGAATTTTGTATTTTCTAGCTAATAGTGCTAATATTCGTCCTCTCCGCAAAATCTTAAAAAATATGCATGAATTTGTGCACGCAAGAAAAAAAACCTACTTTTCCAACAATTATATTATAGGACAAACTTTTTTTTTATGAAGAGCAAATATGTCAATTACTAAGGCTTTTTTTTCGGGAAAATTATCCAAAAAGTCATCAACCTATTGCATTTTTGCTAATATAGTCTTAAATCTTTTAATTTTGCCAATTCGGTCTTAAATCTTTTGACAATTTACCAATTCAGTTCATCCGGGCAGTTTTGATTGGAAATTTCTTACAAGAATGCCAGCTGTCCTACGTGGCACAACCGTTCCTACGTGGAACAGCCGTAGGAAAGTCAGCCACGTAGGACAACTAGCGTTGACGTGGGTATTTTTAATAATATTTCATTTATTTTATGATTTTTTTTATGCATTTTCTATTTTTTCCCCTTTTCTTTTTTTATTGTTATTTGGAGGGATGGCTGGTGAGGGTCGGCGACCCTTGTCGTCTCCAAGCAAGGGTCGTGACACCCTTGCCAGATCTGGCCAGGCGAGGGCTCGAGCGCCCTCGCTTTGGCCACGGAGGGTCGCCAAGCCCTCGTCTGGCCATAGTGAGGGCTACGAGCCCTCGCCTATGGCTGGTGAGGTCAGTTGGCGAGGGTCAGTTGGCGACCTTGTTGGCCATCTCTCCAGAACCCGTAAAATAGTAAAGAAAAGGAAAAAATCATATATTTTTTTTAAATTATTAAAATATTAATTAAAAATGTTGACGTTAGTGCCGCTCGTCGCCGGCAGTGCCACGTGGGACGATCGGCGTCCACGTCAGCGATTTCTGGTCAAGACTGATCATGTGAACTCAATTGGCAAAACTTGAAAAGATTTAGGGTTGAATTGACAAAATTGAAAAGTTTAAGATTAAATTGACAAAAGTGTGATAACTTTAGGATTTTTGGACAACTTTTTTCTTTTTTGTTCCTTTCGTTCGTGCAAGCGAATGTGTCATTTGATGTTGCTAGTCGCGCGGGCGCATGAACGTTTTCAAACTGTATGTCAGCAAGGCACACTAGTTTGGTGAAATGACACTGCTTCTCCTGAATCAACAACGGCGTCTTTTAAATATTAGTGATACGGCTAATATGGTGCACTACTCTTTCATATTATTCGCGATATTCAGGCCAATCAACTTTAGTCAAAATTTGAAATTTGTAGTTTTCGATTGGCTTATTTCTCCACGTATCAACTATCTCATAAAACACAATTTCTCTCGGGTTCCACATGTTAAAATGACGTTTTCATCATTGTTGATTTGTGTCGCCAAGTGATACTCCCTTTAATCCGACGTGTCGTTCCATTCTTTCCTAACCCTTCCGCTGTCCTAAAAACTTGTCAAGTGCCGCACCTTGTCCAAATCTTCTCGTCCTGGTGGTCGCTCCTTACGCTCGTCGAATTGAGTAAGGGCCAATCCGTCCTCGAGCCACACACCTATTGAAGGGAGACCGACCCACGTGGGTGGGGCCTTCCAACAACTATATAAGATCGTAATTATTTAGGTAGATATCGGCTTATCAATTGGTCAACAAAAGGGGACTTCTTCCAACTGATGTGGGGGACCTGGGATGTCACGGTCGACGTACTGCTTACAAAATATATTGCACGATAACATTATTTTCCACTACTCTTTCAATAGTCAATCTAGGATTCTTATTAAATATTTCATTGTTTTCAAAATCATCTCATCACGGTGGCTGTCCGGATAGCGAAGTACGGTGTCACTTGGAAGCTCAATGTCCTTCGTGGCCGATCCCGTCTGCTTCTGTTGCTGCTATAAATGCCTTGCATGGAATGGTTGGTGCTGACCATGCGTGATGGGCTTGCAGGTGCTCGCGTTTTCCCACAAATAAGAGAGCTCAAACGTATACAACTCATCCAAATCTCAAGTTCATGTATCTGCAGATTAATGTTCACTGGTTCCAAAACATTGTTCAGTGCATTTCTGTACCAATCTTGCGACAGGTTCGACCATCATTTGGCTGGTTTCGAAAGGAGCGAGATTACAGCATTCGTCTATAAAAGAAAACACTCTGCATCCCTGGATTTTAATTGCGCACGACATGATCCTGACACCTTTAACTTGCATAATGTGCAGCCACTTTCCTAGAATTTATACATCCTGTCTTTCAAAGCCGGTTTGCCCGACCTTGGGATCTACCTCTGAGTTCGTGGTATGTACAAAAGAGCCGAGAAGAGGCTCCTTCAGTGCTGCCAAGGAAAGGTGTCAGCAAGAGGGAAGCTGGAATTCACTTCTTCTGGGAGGTAATGAGGCACAAGAATGCTACAGCACGAGTAACGACGCCCATGAGTATCAGGAGTATCAGACAAACAGACCAATCGCCAAGATCGTAACCATTCTCCATGAGTGCTCCACATCGAGTGATCAGCCACACTCCCGAGTACCTGAAGGCCAGAGATTCTCAACATCAAATGGCTTCAGATAATGTAAAATCATAGTATAGGAGCATATTTTGAAAGGATTATTTTAATTTTTTTTTTGTGTTTTGTTATTCACGGTAAAAACAGGACTTCAAATGATGAAAATGGTTTGTTTTGTCTCAACGAGTGCATGAATTTTGAAGATGTGCATTTCCCATTGGACATGAATTTGATTGCCCAGAATGGCCTCCACTTGCTATTTTTCTCCCCGAAGTAGGTGTTTTATAAATTGGTGTTGAAACTCAAGACCGAATGCTTGCAGAAATTATAGTTGTCTATATGATGAAAGAACCTTTCAGCATTTGCAATGACAAAAGCCTCCAGAGCCCACTTGGGGTAGCACAAATCTCCTAGATGCTTCACAAGGCGGTGGTCCGTCTGTTGCTGTGTTGCAATGAGAGTCAAAACCACAGGAAGAATCACAGACCACTGCATGTCGAAGAAAAGTCCCCGAAAAATGGTGAGTTGCAGATAAATGTGAGTTAATGTCCACGGTGGCTCATTCATTGGGATCAGATACATACCAGCTGGGCGGGGCCGGGCTGAAGGAAGATTGCAAATATGTAAGCTATCCCGGTTACACAGTACACGAGGCAAAGCAGGACGGTGTAATTATCAGCAAAAGATGATCTAGGATTACTGAAGAAATAGAACATGGATAGATAAACCAGTGGTTTGATCACTGTGTTGAAATGGTCCACTGTATCTTTGGATAAGAAATAGGCCAGACTGCTTATCCCCGATGCGCTTTCCCTCCAGTATTGTAATTTGTCCAGAGTAAATGATCTCAGTGCTGCAATCTTGCAAAGTAATGCTGTAGATTGGAAATTTTGGATATTGGTAAGAAAGAGACGCGGAGAACAATTGTATGATATGCCAGGTTAAATGACCAGTAACAGAAGATGGTTATGTTCATCGATTGGATCCATGTAACAGAGTTTTACAGCCACTTCTAAACTCAAGTAAGTATGCCTCGATTACTAATAAGATGTTTCAATATG